ACTGGAGCCGTATCCCTCGGAAGATCACGCCCAGAAGGTGCCGCTGCTCGTAGTTGGCTTCTTTGTTTGGGAATTCAGAGTTTAATTGGGCCGCAAGAGTCGTGGGCCAGATTAAATGTTAACTGCGTGCCTCTAATTGATGGCTTAGAAGCGCTGTGGATTCAAGGGGAGTTGCCCTTGGTGGAAGGGTGAAGGTGTAGGAACTTCTGCGCCAGATAATTTTTGCTTTCTTAGGTTCTGGCGGGGTGGAGAGATCTTCCTAGATTTCCAGCAGGGCTTGTCTAGCCCTCGGGCTAAGACTTAAAAGCTAAGCAGGATCCAATGGGGTCAGTCCTTAAATGGGAGACCATTCGTCGCAGGCTAGATGGGGAAGCCAGAAGCATCGAAGGCGGCAGCTGTTGTGAACTGTTGTGGCGCTGCTGGGGCTGTGTCATTATCAGAAGCTGAGCTGTTTATCTTTAAGAAGAGAGGAGGGTTTGAGCAGGCAGGTTGGAACAAGCAAACAGCGCAGGGGTGTGAGCAAAGCCTGCCGGGGAAGAGGAAGTGTGTTCTTACACATATGCTTTCTTTGCAGTGCCTCTTTAGCTATTGTTCTCTAGGGAGTATCATAAACCCATCAAGGCCTTCGCTTGTGCAAACAGCACGCTCTGGGCCTGTTGATGCAATCTGTTATCCTCCAGCCCTTGAAGAGTCTCTTTGCCCCATCGAGGAGGGCGGGAGAGTTTCAGCTCTCCGAGATTGGCCGCTGGGGGGGGGGACGCTTTCTCGCCCGCCCTCCAAGAGCGCCACCCAGTTGGCAAACGTGGCTGCGGACGGTCGTCCCCACCTGAGTGATGTGGACGGCTGACCTGGCGAAGAGTCCTGGGAACCTTGAAAGCTTGCAAATTGGGGTGGGGGGACTTGCAATTGGCCAAACAGAATGATTGCCTCCAGGTGGCTTTTAGGTTTCCGTGCAAGAACCAAGCCAGCGAACACCCCCATTTTCAGAACTAAGTTTGCATCTTTTGAATACCTGGAGGTAGAACTCACCTTCAGCATCCACTCCTAGGACTGCCTTCTGTCCTGTCAGTTGGCAATTCCTGGCACGTCCAGGAGTCCCGGGCATCTGAAACTCACATAGCCACGTTGACCCATATGATGTCCCTCTTGTATGGCCAAAAAGAAAGAAAAATCAATAGACATTTTTGCATTTTAGCAACTACATGTTCATCGTGTGTACGTCATTCCATTTCAAACTCAGTCTTACCATGTTCCAAAGCATCGACTCTTTTGTCCACTTCAAATCATTCTAATAACTGTAAGTAAGAAAACCGTTGGCGCCTCTGTCCCTCTGCCACCAGTTCTTCTGGTATCTCACGATAAGTCAGCCGTTTGTGTTCGCCTATTATTCCTCGCCTATAAAATGCTGCTTGTGCGGAGAGCCACAAAGGTGTTTTTGGGCGCAACCTGGATTCGTATCTATTCCATAGTCTCAATAGGGCACATCTAACATAGTGATTTTTAAAATCCACATTAACCTTGACTTTATCGTGCCACAAATATCCACGCCACCCAAATCTCAGGTCGCGTCCTTCTAACTCCAAAAGCCTTCTGTTCCTCAGCAACACCCACTCTTTCATCCAGACCAGCAAACAGCAAGCTGCAAAATACCGTTTCAAATCAAGTAAACCGAATCTTTCTCTTTCCTTTGCATCTTGTAACACCTTATATTTAACGTGTTTTTTTCCCCGGCCGCACAAATTTAGATATATCCTTTTGCCACTGTTTAAATGGTGCATCAGTTGTCGAAGCAGTATTGTCTGAAACAAAAACATCATTCTAGGCAGGACATTCATTTTTATCACGGCAATTCTCTGCTCCCCCCCAAAAAATTCAGTAGGCCTTATTTTATGGTTGCTTTATTTATAAATACCTTATTGTGCCTTTCTAGCTTGTTGCAAGATTTGTCACAAAGAGAAAACAAGGAATGAAACTTAAATAAATGCAAAACAAATTTGTAAGAAAAAAACGGTCATGTCAGAGGCAATGTGAGGTTAAAAAAGGAAAGGAAGGCAGTGGAGGATACCACATGAATTTCATAGGGTGGTGCTGCTACAGATAGGTTGGTGGTGCCAACCGTACCTCTCGTCATGGGATTCACATGTCAGGCCTGGGCTCACAGTTCTCAAGAGACATGAAATGGTTTCTGAAGGTGGGCTTGAGGCTCCCTTTAGATCAGTGATTTTCAACCTTGGCAACTTTAAGATGCGTGGACTTCAACTCCCAGAATTCCCTTGTTGGCTAGGGAATTCTGGGAGTTGAAGTCCACGCATCTTAAAGATGCCAAGGTTGACAGACAGTGCTTTAGATGTTTGCTAGCACGGGAAAAGATTGCTGAATGATTCGTGTTTGGATGAACGTGAGGTGGACCAGGATAATGGAGTCTGTTGCTGGCGTTGTTTTTTAAGATCTGGGGCTCCGAAGTGTGCAACTGAAGGGAGGTGTCTGTCCTTTTTCAGTCTCTGTCAGAGTAAGAAAGTAAAAAGTAAACCCTGTTTTACACACACACACCCTTTGGAGCTTTGCAGAGATCCTTGCAGCTCCCAGAATTCCATGGGCCATGCCGGTTGGGAATTCTGGGAGACGCAGTCCTCCCGGGCCATCAGGAGCCTAACCCCAGCTGTGCTCGCCTCTCCTTGCCAACCTGGGTGAGGGGAGCGGGCAGAAAGGTCTCCGTTTCAACTCAGGTGGCCTGTGCGGGCACATTTGTTCAGTATTTGCAGACTTAGTAAAAAATTAACATTCTGAAAGACAGTTGTAAAAGCTGAGCAAATGGGCGCTTAAGTCAACAAAGGCAGGCTGTGTGTGTGTGTATGTGTGTGGCACGTCCCCTGGAGAAGGGGTGAAGGAGTGCCTGGCGTGCTGACTGCGGGGACATTGCTGGGGTTTGTAGTAGCTACTAAGCCCAGCTTTCTCTACAATAGCTCTCCTTTCCAGAGGTGTTGGACTGCAACTCCCATCATGCCCGGCCTGCGAGGGAAGACCTGGTTGTGCCCTGCTTTGCACCTTGTACTTCTGGTCTAAATGCAATGTGGAAACTCTACCACCGTGGTTTGTAAACCAGGGTGGGTCGGTTACGTGTGGAACAAGCCGCTATGCCCTGTTCAGTCTGCTGCGGCTTAGCGTGCCGTGTGAACCGGCGGCTGTGTTGGCCGCCTTCAAGAACAAACGCGGCTGCAGCTCCTCCTGCAAAGCGATTGTGGGGCTCGTGGGCCATCCACGGGAAGTCATCCCAGGCAGCGGGTTTAGCAGTCCAGGAGGGGCGGAAACGGGTCTTTAATTTCACTTTTTAAACTCGGAGCTCCCTCACCCTTTGAGTGGGGAGACCCCCTTCTGGAAGACCCCTTTTGCTTGCTTTCGCCTTGACCCTCTCCTGTGGCTGGCCCTGCCTCCTCTCCTCTCCTCTCCTCTCCTCTCCTCTCCTCTCCTCTCCTCTCCTCTCCTCTCCT